GTTTATTATATTTTAATTTATTATAAGTTTATATTTTAATAATTTGATTTAATATAATTTACATTATCTTTTAAATTTAATTTCATTTATCCACGAAATATATTAAACTTTGAAATTCATTGAACATAAATATATTTATATAAGAATTAAATATTTTAAAATAAAGTAAATAAAATAAAATCAATTTATTATAAATTAAATAATTAATACTAATAATAACTTCAAAAAATTACATAAATAATAAAAAATTAAATTAAAATAAAATAAGATAAAATATAATACAATGACGTGTAATTAAAATTTAATAAATTTACATTTTAATTATTAAAATAAATTAAATAAATAAACTTTAAATGAAAATATAATACATATTATGCATATTTTAATATTTTAAGTTTGTTTAATAATAACTTAATATAAATCAAAATAAATAATATAATATAAGAATATATAAAAATAATATAACATAAATACATTAAATATTATTATAATATAATAAATTTATAATAATTATTTATAATTTTATTTTATCTTATTATTTTAATTATTGTTTTCGTTTAATTTTATTTAGTTTATTATATTATAATTTATTATAAGTTTATATTTTAATAATTTCATTTTATAATTTACATTATCTTATAAATTTAATTTCATTTATCCATAAATAACTTTACTTAGTGTGAAATTGAATATTTTAAAATGAAGTAAATAAAATAAAATAACAGTATAATAGGCCAATTTACTATAAATTAAATAATTAATACTAATAATAACTTCCAAAAAATTAAATTAACATAAAATAATAAAAAAGATAAATTAAAATATAGTAGCGTGAAATTAAAATTTAATAAATTTACATTTAAATTTTTAAAATAAATTAAATAAATAATTTTTTAATGAAAATAATAAATACAGAAAATGAATTAAAAATAAATAGTCTAATTAAAGTAACATAAAAATAATAATTATAAAGGAAATAAAGTATACAAATGATCAAGTAAATAAATAATAAATAAAGTAACCTATTATGGAATAAATATGAATTTAATAGTTATATTTACCAAATAATCTTTTACATACAATATGAATAAACAAATTATAATTTTTTGTTATACAATTTTAATTTCTATTTATTAAATAATTCTAATAAATACATTAAATATTAATAAATAATAAATAAAGTAACCTATTAGAGAATAATAAATATAAGGAAATTAAAAATATTATTTATCATTACATACAAAATAAAAAAAATGAAACAAATTATAATTTTTTAGTAAATAATTCTATTGTGAATAAATAATTTTAATTTCTAAGTTTTATTTATTAAAAAAATAATTTTAATATAAAATAATTCTAAAATAATTACATTAAATAGTATTATAATTTAATTATAATTTTTTGTATTTATTTATAATTTTATTTTAACTATTAATATAATAAAGTAAAATAAAATATAATATAGTACCGTGTAATATAGTACCGTGTAATTAAAATTTAATAAATTTATATTTTAATTGTGAAAATAAATTAAATAAACTTTAAATAAAAATATAATACAGAAATTGCAAGTAAAAAATAAATAAAATTAAAATAGACTAATGTAACATAAAAATAATAATTATAAAAGAAATAAAGTATACAAATGATCAAGGAAAATAAATAATAAATAAAATAAACTATTATGGAACAATAAATTAAGTAAATATAACTATTAAATTCATTAAGAAAATTAATAATATTATTTATCAAATGATTTCTAACATAAAATATGAATAAAAAAATTGAAACAAATTATAATTTTTTTCTAATGTAAATAAATAATTTAAATTTCTAAATTTTACTTATTAAAAAAATTAATTTTAATATAACTATAAAATAATTCTAAAATAAATACATTAATATTTATAATAATTATTTATAATTTTATTTTAACTTATTATTTTAATTATTGTTTTCGTATAATTTTATTTAGTTTATTATATTATATAATTTATTATAAGTTTATATTTTAATAATTTGATTTAATATAATTTACAGTATCTTCTAAATTTAATTTCATTTATCCATAAATAATGTGATATATATTAAACTTTACTTAGTGTGAAATTAAATATTTTAAAATAGAGTAAATAAAAAAAATAACAGTATAATGCCAATTTACTATAAATTAAACTAGGGGGCTACGCACAGCCGATATGGCCCTGTTGTGGGTCTTTAAATAATGTTTCATGGAAATGCTATATGGTGTGCCAAACACAATACACATAATAGCTAAAAAACGAAAAGCATATCCAAGAATGTCTACCTCTACCCCAATCACATAAACCAATCACATAAACCAGAATTAAACGACAAACCCACATGAATTGACTAACATAACCTTCTTACATTAGATTACACCCCCTTCTTACATTAGATTACACCCCTAGCACAAAAGAAGATAATTTTCCACAAATTCATTCATCCAAATAAATGCAATAAAGAACTTCTGTCTTAAAGAATTTGTTGAAAGTGCATAATAGAAAATATCAACAAATAGCCTAACAGGAACAAAAAAAAGAAAGTTGTACAATTATACATACACAAACACAACATCATAAAATTACGAAGAGATTACAAAACAAAATAATAAGTTGTCTAGGTATAGACAAAAGCATAACAACAAGAAAAAAACAACCATTAACAAAAAATTAGATTACTACCCAGCGACACCCAACATAAAAATCCAACGATTGAACCTTAAACTGAACTATAGTCCCAGAACAACAACACCCTCATGGATAAGTCTATCACAAAGAAACCACACAAAAAATCAAAGGAAAATGAACACACTGAGGGAAGACAAAAATCAAACACAAAGAAATCATAAGCATGC